TTTAAACTTAAGATTTTAAATTTAAAATTTAAAATTCTTAATTAATTGAACCATCTTTTATGAGTGAATCATCACTTAGATTGGGTACATGAAATGAGCTTTTATTATGGACCGATTTTCTTTAACAAAATATTGAAATATATTTTTGGTCCAATCAATTAAATTATTAAAATTAATTTTCTTAAATGTACTAGATTGATATAAGAGATAACTCTTAAAATTATTTTAAAAGCTATTAGTCTATTGGAAAACTTGATTTGGTTTGTAGTGATATGGAAATTGTGGAATTGGAGAAACCAAATGGTCTTTGGCAAAGAGATGAATAAGGAGATGGAGGTAATGGATCTCATTAAATTCAAATCGTTTGCATGGCTAAGGGCTAAAGATTATCCAGAACTTGATTTGGAAATGTGGAAACTCAATCCGAGACAAGCATTATTCATGCTTTAAGTAAATGATTTGGAATAATCACTACTAGGAGATTTAAATGTTTAGTGAAGAAAATAATGCTTTAAAATTGTTTTGATTGAGTTATACCGAAGTGGAGTTTAAGTTAAAATTTGTAATGGGTTTGGGCATCTCTCAACTGTAAAATAAAATATTTTACTAATAAAAAAGAAATTACTTAAAAAAAATGCTTTTTCATCTATATAACTAGCATGCAAACCACCATTCTCCCTCCTCACCGTTCTAATCTTCATGAAGTTTTAACCAGTTTTTTTGTTCCACGGAAAACTTTCGAGATCTAAGTTTTGAAAAAGAGTATGGGTGTGAGTTTAATGAATTCTTTTTCTTTTTTAATGTTTATACGGTCATTCCTCTTAACTATATGTACAAAACTACAAATAGTAGATGGACACAAAACCCTCGTAAGTCATAACTGCAAGTCTGCAATGAGAGCGAAAGAGAACTTAATGGCAAGAAGATGACTAGCTAGCCATATATGTCTACGTACGTATGTGCATGTCTATGTCACTAAATTATATATATATATATATATATATTTTTAAATTATTCATTTATATTCTTGAATTAAACATTTCACCTACCATGGAGTTTGTGGTTATTATAGAATAAAAATTATCGATGGATTTTTTTATTATATTTAATGATAAATTATATAAATTTTTTTTTTTTTAAATTTCTTCTCATCCAATTTCAAATTTAAACTTAAGATTTTAAATTTACAATTTAAAATTCTTAATTTAATTGAGCTATCTTTTATGAGTGAATCATCACTTAGATTGGGTACATGAAATGAGCTTTTATTATGGACCGATTTTCTTTAACAAAATATTGAAATATGTTTTTGGTCCAATCAATTAAATTACTAAAATTAATTTTCTTAAATGTATTAGATTGATATAAGAGATGTATTCTTAAAATTATTTTAAAAGTGATTAATCTAAAAAATATGAAAAAAATGATCTGAAAATACTTTAATTGCATGCCTAAACAAAAAATAAAATAAAAACAAAAATATCTTGAAATTTTTGGAATATGTAGATAGAATAACCTTTTAAATGCAACTACGCAAGGGCGGCGTTAAATTTTGTCGGTTTGGGGCCATGAGGCATCCAAATGGTGTATGAACCATAGAAACTTTCAAAGCTTCTAATTAATTACAACAAAATGATGGACCCCCTCAACCTAGCCAAACAGCTTAGACTAATTAACCTAAATTGCCTAATGGTTCGAAGGACAGATATTATAGAGCTTCGCAATTTGCGACCTTGAGGCTTGTTTGGTTTGAAATTAATCTCTCTTTTTTTTTCTTTTTCTTTTTTTTTTTTTTTTTTTTCAATGTGATTGAAAGAAATCGACATAATAGTTTCTACTCTCAATTCCCGTCAAGTTGCTATCAGGCCTTGTTCCGTCTTGTTACCTCAGCTCGATCATTCATGCCACTCAGCGTGTCCCTCATGGCACGAGTCCTACGTAAAAGTTTATTAAGAATAGTTGATCAAAACTTAAAGATTGGATTTATTGATAAATAATATCATTTTATAAGTTTAATGTGAGAGGTGCATTCTTAAGATCATCTAAAAATAAACTAATCTTAAGATGCACAAAAATTGGTCCAAAATACCACTGACAATTCAAAAAAAACAAAGGTTGATTGATTTTTCTCTTTATATGTACTACATTTCAAACTTGATAGTTGACATGGTCATCCACATTAATTGATCTCTTTCAAAATTTTCTTTCCGGATTTTCTAAATCCACCGTAACACTCATTACGAAAAATAACATTTCAAATGTGATGTCTTTTTTCAACAGAATTGTCGTAATAGAGGGTGTCACAAATATTATTTTAATGAAATTTTAATACAAATTATCATAATAAAGGGCGTCGTAAAAGACAATTATTTTTTTAGTTACTATTAATTACATTCTAAAGATTAAAACTTCAGCAAAATCAATCCAAATTAATCAATAACCAACCTTTATTCTACTAATCAACTTGCTAAAAGGAAGAAAACTAGCTAGTCATAAAAAGGCTTAAAATTTTTAGAGTAGGAAGTTTCTAATCATTTCCTCTTACATGCATTAAGCTGAAATTATATTAGTTCTTTAATCATGACCCCAAAACTTCCGAAATTAAGTTAAATTGATGATCATTTATATTATTTATGTATTTAGAGGCAATTCTTTCACATTTCTTTCTCTTTATTTCAGTTGATTTGAATTGAGATGTATTTTAGATTAGTATCCCTCTAGAAGTTATATGTTGATCGACAAAATAATCATATGATAATGACAATACATGTTAAGTAGTTGAACTGTTACTAAATGGGACTCCCAATATTGACTTGTTGGTGCATGCCTAAAGAAAAGTCAGTTATTGTTATTGGAGCCTTTTCTTCTTATCTTTTTAGGCTTTGATTAATCTTTGCATCCTTGCACAAGGAAAAGGATGAATTAAATTGAAGTGAAGCTGATAATTAAAATCATACAGGATACAGCCTCTGTGTCTACAAAATGAATGAGACAGTGAAGTTTCATTTTTCGCATGTTTGTTTGTAGGCTTCCCTACTCTTTCCATGGCTTTTGTTTCTTTTTCCTACATCATATAGGTCAAAACCCTATTTGCACCTTACATATTTTTTCTCTCTGCAATCAACATCCTAAACTAATTTTCATCTGGATCAATA